GCGGATCGCTCGTACGACTTTAACGCGAGACGCGACTCGACGTTCATTACGGTATTCCCGTATTCCACGGTTATTGAATTAGCGCGATAACTTTGGGACTCGACGTAATCGCGACATTACGTATTAAAAGCGCGCAGAAAGACCACCATGCGAAATCTCCCGTGCCGCATCGCGCTGCGACGAAACGAGCCGCGTACCGTTTGCTTCATGTTCCGCATCTATCAATTCTGTACCTTACGACATAGTGGAAATGCTAAAAGTGAGCGGCTTTGTCTCTTTTTTTTAAGGGGACAGTCGGGAAGAGACGAGGCTACTCAGTTTTCGCGTTTTCACTGTAGTGTAAGACACAGAATTGACCCCCCAGGTGTAAAGATACAAGGTGAAACATTGCGCATGTAACCAATTTTTGGGTTGTTCATTGGTTCTTCCTGCATTCAACCGCGATGATTTGCAGCTTGAAGGTTGGGGCAAATTTCTGATTAGCCAATTCGGTAGTTTGCGCCGCTTTTGATTGTTTGACACTGCGCATCCACCAGATTGCGTCACCTTGTATCTTCACACCGTGGTCTGTATCGTCCGCATTGTTCGCGGAGGTACGCGAGGTCCGCGTACGAGGAAAAATCGGGGAAACCGAGGATTGGCGAGCTGATTTATGGCCGGCTGCACGACGCCCCGCGTATCTTCCTTCGCGGTCTGTCTGTGCGTTTGACATTTGGTGCCTCACGATGACCGACTGAAATATGAGCCTTCACGTCGCGAAACGTCCGATCCGGTCTCTCGCGAAGTGGAGGAACTGGATTTCAGTCCTAGAGACGTGGTGCGCGCACAAAGTTGAAATTGGCACTTACGATGGACGCCCAATGCGCTTTGGCTGCATATTCATGCGCCACGGTAAAGGGTTATTGAACCGAACCTGCGATCCTGAGCCTTGAATGCGCCGAGCTACATAAAGATCGCGAACGTTTTGTCCGTCGGAAAAAAAGGAGTTCGCCGCGGATATAATTATCCGGCTCTAAATAATAGCAGGAGGATGCGCCAACATTTCCTAACAAATTACTTTGCGAACGACACTTTGCGCGCTGATTTACGGAATTATTATTAGAGGAAGGTCCCCTTGTTATGAGAGGCTGATGGCAGACAACTATCCGTAAGCGCTTAAGACTGACGTAGTCGTAGACTTAAGGTAAGGCAGAGAAAAACGTAAGCCGTGGAACACGTGTTCCTTACGGCTTACGTTTTTCTCTGCCTTACCTTAAGTTTACGACTACGTCAGTCTTAAGCGCTTACGGATAGTTGTCTGCCATCAGCCATAGGCTCGTAATGTGAGATAGCGGAGTTTCTGCTGAATTAATAGGCGTCGTCTGTTGGTTCCACCGTGAATTTATCGCGATAGCCTACGGCAAAGACGTAAGCGTAAACGTAGATTAGCGCACAAGCTTTGGCGTATGTCGTACTCGCCTCCGATTACACATGACGTTACATTTGCGCCAAAGCTGGCGCGCTAATCTACGTTTACGCTTACGTCTTTGACGTAATTTGTGGTACTGTTTCGTAGATATTTTTACAAAAAAATTAATGTCTCAACGGAGATATAAAAATTTCTACAAGTTTCTATTTCAAGTCAATATTTTGTCGTTATTTGTAGAATTGTTTTCCGCTAGGGGCGTCTAAAGTGTTCCATCGTTTTTTGTACAATAATATCGATGTCAACCTATCAACTCGCGGGATAACAAATACATCGTCTAAGAAAACGAGATAAATTAACGTAAAAGATTCAAATAATTAAATTTTTTTTCGTTCAATTTGACAGATACGGTTTCAAAGCGTAAAAAGGATTAAAGAAACATTTGCCGAAACGCTGTCGTATATTTCGGTATTGACGAACGTTTCGCGTCAAATTAATGTTTAATTAATCACAAAATTGTGCTCGCGGACTAACAATAGCGCGTTCGATTTGCGCTTTACAATCGGTGGCATGCGACATCTTCTATCGACCTCATAAAGTAGCATCGATTTGATTGTCTGTCGTCGCCGTGGCGGGATACGTACCGGTCGCGAGTGTCGGAGTGATTTTCGTTAATTAATGAAATAGATTAAAACACGGGAAAGCGCTCTCGGCGCTGCCGGACGCGGTCAACGTTAGTTGACAGCGTGAAAAGGTATAACGTCGTCTGCATATTCGATGCAGGTCCATTTATAACGTTCGCGGCAACGCGCGAGTTTATGCAACCGCACGTACCAAAAATACTTATTGATATAACTGTCATTAAAGGAGGCGTCTGTCGCTAGTTGGATGACCCTGTCATTACGGTATCTGTTTATTCATTGTGTCGTTCGCCTTAGCGCTTCGCTTCTATAGAAACTCCAATATATTAATTTAGGCGGCTCCGACGATCCCTCGGAATCTCGAACAGGAAACGAGGAATTGAGAGAATGGAAACGAAATCCGACGGAGACAATTGAAACCAAATCTCGATATTAAAATTCTAAGTTGGGAAGCAACGCGTTACTTGTAACGTCGTTACCGTTACAATTACTTTTTTTGGTAACGAATGGGTAACGGCGTTACATTTTTTTCATTTGTAACGTTCATGGTGACGTAGTTACATTTTGTCGGTAACGGTAACGATTTTAGTAGTTGCTTTTGTCGTTACTTTAACGCAGTGAACTTTTCACTGGTTGCGTTCAGAAAACAAAGCAGCTCAGTGATCTTTAATATGATTGGTTCTTGCCTGTAGTTCTAATGGGTTTAGATAAAAGGTAATTTATTGGTATATTTATTGTAATATATTCGCTGATTTTAAGTAATGAACTGTATTTGCGAGTTTTTCTAAAAACATTCTGTTGCTATATTTGATTACAGATTCTCTACAATATTTGAGAGAAAAGATTTTGTAATTGCAAGCTGTTCACATCCCAAATTTACATTAAATTGATTAACTGGAGAGAGGAAAACATTTGCCGAGAGCTCTTTAGAGGATTTATTTGGCATTAGATCGAAAGATAATTCTCCAAATATTAATAAAGACATCGATAATGATGATTTTTTAATCTCACCGGCAAAAGAGAGGAAAAAGTTTGCCGAGAGCTGTTTAGAGGATTTATTTGGCATTCGATCAAAAGACAATTCTCCAAATATTAATAAAGACATCGATAATGATGATTTTTTTAATCTCACCGGCAAACTACAAGTGAATCCGTCGAAGAAGAACTGCGACGGTTTTTACAATCAAAGAATTCTAATATAGATGTGATTATCCGAATAAATAAGACTTTTTATTAAATATAACACAGCTCTACCAAGTAGTGCCTCTGTAGAAAGGCTATTCAGTGTGGGAGGCATTGTATTAACGCCGCGACGAGATCATCTTAATGACGATTCCATGGAGTTTCAACTTCTTTTAAAAGTTAAATCATTTTGGTAAAACTTGGTAAGAAAATCATTATCCTTATGCCAACCTTATTCTTTTACTAGAGGATATAATTTTACTTATATCTTCTGTTTATACACTCACCCGCAAAAAAATGGGCCACCACATTTTAGCCCAATTTTTTAATATTTTTCAATAGCGATAACTCGGCGAAAAATCATCGTAGACAAATGATTAAAAGAGCATTTTGAAGCTTGAAGTTTCAACTTTGAAATGCTGTCAACAATTCTTTAAAATTCGTTTATCTTCCTTGTTCTATGCTTTAAAAAAGAACACATTGTTTTTTTTCTTAGAATTACGTATTTTTGACGCTCTGTGACTGGATAAAAAAATTTGTCTCGAAAATATCATCTCAAATTTCATAAACTACAATTCTTTGCCTACAAAACGCTTTTTTAAAAATTGTCCTACGATGTTTTTTGACCGAGATATACGATTTTGAAGCTAAACCTGTACTTTTTAGAACTGTTGTCGATACTCGGCGAAAACTCATCGTCGACAAATGATTAAAAAAGCATTTTGAAGCTTGACGTTTCAACTTTAACGTGCTCTAGATGTCCTTTTAAAATTCCTTTATTTTCCTTGTTCGCTGCTATAAAAAAAACACATTGTTTTTTCCTTAAAATTACGTATTTTTGATGCTCTGTAGTTGGGTTAAAAAATTTCTCTCGACAATATCATCTCAAGTTCCATAAACTACAACTTCTTGGCTACAAAACGCTTTTTTAATCATTTGTCTACGATAAGTTTTTGCTGAGTATCGACAACATTTTTAAAAAGTACAGGTTTAGCTTCAAAATCGTATATCTCGGTTAGAAAACATCGTAGGACAATTTTTAAAAAAGCGTTTCGTAGGTAAAGAGTTGTAGTTTATGAAATTTGAGATGATATTTTCGAAACAAATTTTTTTATCCAACCACGGAGCGTCAAAAATACATAATTCGAAGAAAAAAAAATGTGTTCTTTTTTAAAGCATAGAACAAGGAAGATAAACGAATTTTAAATAATTGTTGACAGCATTTCAAAGTTGAAACTTCAAGCTTCAAAATACTTTTTTAATCATTTGTCTACGATGATTTTTCGCCGAGTTATCGCTATTGGAAAATGTTAAAAAATTGGGCTAAAATGTGGTGGCCCATTTTTTTTGCGGGTGAGTATATTTACCGTAGAAACTTAGTATTTAATTGTACTAATGTCAAGACAAAAGTAACGAAGATAGTAACGACTCGTTAATTTTTTAGTAACTGTAACGAGTCACTTTTACAAAGTAACTTTCCCAACCCTGTTGAAATTGTCCAAGGAGAACAAAAGTTAGGACGATGTCAATTTGATGTCATATTGACCAAATTTATGTCAAATTTTGGTCAATATGGCATCAAATTGACCAAAATTTGACGTAAATTTGGTCAATATGACATCAAATTGACATCACCCTGACTTTTTCTTCTCCTTGGGTGACAAAATCGCGTTACATCAGCGGCCCAATTTAAATAATTAACGCGTGTCAATTCGTTAAATTTAAATATCCAAAATTTTACTTCGCTATACTTTGGAATATCGATAATGCGATAATTTTTTTATACGCACATAATCGTCCAGTCTGCAAATCCTAGAGATCGAAGTTAATTAAAAGTTACGATTTTTCTGCGAGCCTTTCCGACAACCCCCTTCGATAGGACAATCAAGTCATGCGCAACGTTACGCGCGTAGCCTCGGGTGAACGCTACGCGCGTAGCCTCGGGTGAACGCTACGCGTATTTTTCGCGAGAGCCGACCGCAGGACGAGAATTCCGCGATGAGTGCCAGCGAGTCCGTAAGCGAGCTCTTTTCAGGGTCCGTTGATGACGACGATATTTTTACGATCGGAGTCACCGTGGACACAGGTACGAGATTATTCGCGGACTCGTCCGTGTGATAGAGAACAATCCACGTGTTTCCTAAACATAACCTACAACGATGACGCAGGTTTCGAGTGGGAAGCGATCGATGAATGCAGGGAGAAATTCGGGAAAGATGTACGGGCGGTTAAACAGCGCGGAAGAATCTACTTTAATGTCCCGCGCGAGCAGCTGCCGAAAGTACCACGCAACCCAGATTATTCTTTTCGACACAGGCGCGAGAATCATATAATGTTTACATTACGTTTTGCCACGAATATTGTAGGTTCAACAGATGAGATCGATAGATCACATGTTCATCGTAGCTGCTCACGGCAGCGTGCCGCTTGCCAATGACAAAGACCTGGACTTGTTGTGTGTAAGGAACTCGGACATGTTCTCGGAGTCGGACAAGAGATGGAAGAAGACGCTCGAAGCGTGGAAATTCATGACGAGCTTCAAGGGGAAACTTTACCCAACGCTTGACGAGTACAATGTAGCCAAAGAGAAAGATCTTGTAGCCAGGGCGGAGTTGTTGAAGATGCGTAACAAGGAAAAAGAGGAGAAGGATCCCCTCGATTGGGACGCGTCGGAGATGAAGGAAGAGAGAGGGAAAAAACGCGGGCAAGACCCCTCAAAGTCGGAAGAGGGCGATGTACTTAAGTACAGAGTAACGTGCGAGAGAAGTGGCAAGCATTCAGTTGAATCTAAGGACGTCGCTAGGGTCATCGGAGAAGTAGTGCAGGACAAATTTCATTGGATAGTCGACTTGTCCATGTATCATCTGGAAATTGTCTGCAAACTGATAGATGGTACGAAAAATCAGACTAAAGGATGTTAAGTTTTACAACACTGTCGCCAAGGATTGATTGACTATGGCAACGACGAGCTAAATGTTATGGTAACTGGTTATTTCAAAATGTTTTAGATCAACTAACAACGCATTTGCGCGTAACACACAAATCCATGCATCACAGGAACATAATCAATTTTGGGCCAACCACTCTTAGATCGACTATATGTTACAACTTGCTGAAACTGGCAAATCCTAAGCTAGGGGATATTATAGTAGACCCTATGTGTGGGGGAGGTTCCATTCCTATAGAGGTATTGCATGTTTGTAATCACCAGTCGTGTTGCTCGATTCCAAGCGTCGCAACCCCCCTGCGTATATCCGAGTTAGATAAATGGCACCTGCAACGTTCCGAACGGCACTGCCGAGGGGTTCTCTTGGCAAATAGACTCTCGGTGGGTTGTCTCGTCCTTCCGGGAGGCGATTTCTAGTCTGACTTGAACCTGGATCTTTGGCTCGCTAGAGCAGCACTTACCTCTCTGCGTCACGATCGCCACAGTTACTGCATGTTCACGTTGATAAAATTAATAGTTTGTGGATTTCTAACAACGTACAAATTTCAGGCAACATTAGCTTATCCACACTTGTACGTTTTATGCGGCGACAATGATTCCAGAGCTGTGGATAGATCAAAGTCGAACATGGATGCTTCGACAGTTGGTTGTAAAATCGATCTCGTACAATGGACCGCTTCCAAATTGCCATTTAAAGATTCCTTCGTCGATATCGTTGTTACTGATATGGTATAGAAATTAATTTTTAAAATTTTGTTACAATTTTACATTCTTTTCATAAAAAAAATAATTTTCATAACAATTCGTAGCCATTTGGTAAACGAAGTGGAAACAAGTCCTACAATAAAATTTTTTACAAGCAATTCTTGCTAGAGCTCGGACGTATGGTAAAATCAAATGGAAGAATTGTTCTACTCACCTACGATAGATGTAACTTTAAAGACGTAAGTTTTTATCACGATATATTATATAAAGAAATGAAGATATTAATTGAAAGAAGAATTAAAATCTTACGATCCAAAGACAAATCTGTTATTTGTTTCAGGCTTTGATGGCAGCTGGCGATTTGTTCTGGGTGACGAAAATAATTGGTGTAAACGTAGGTGGTCTTCCAGCTGCAGTTTTTGTTCTAACTCGCACTCAAACGTCCCTTAATAGTTTCAAACCGCGTGTGGCTAAGCAGTACGGTTATCCGAAAGATCGAAAAGATTCACCTGCTCAGCCGACTAAAAAGCCTTTGACCAATTAGATATTCTTCTTGCACAAGTATATAGCGATGCAAATTTATATTTTTCTACAACAAAACTAATACAGTTCCACTTGTATGTTTGACGTGTTTAATTTCTTTTTCAACAAAGTTCTTTCAATAAATTCCAATATATAAGATTTACAAAAAGAACTTTCTTCTGCTTGTCTCCATTTCATGCCTACGGCCTTGTATGATCCACTCGTAATCGCCGTATTTGCTGTCGAATGTTCCGCGCTGCAGCGATCTTAATTTCAAAGTGAATCGTGGACCCAATTCTCTCAATCTCGGTTTTCCAGTCTTGAGATTAAATTCGTACCTGCAAAATAATTCATATTGGATTCGGATTACAAGATGTAGTTCAGATTATTAATTCTTATTATAAAATCTATAAGTTTCTCATGACAAGTCTTGATAAACTATAAAAATAAAATATACCACATAAATGTTATCCACATCTTCGTAAATTCTTTAATTTTAATGGATGCTTTTACGTATTGCCATATACACTTCGCCAAAATTTGTAGAATCCACTGAGAATTAAAAAAATTGCTACAAAATTACCTATGATGTCTAAAAAATATGTAATCTCTTTGATTGTGAAATGTCACTGCTCTCCTCCCTTTAAATTCTGGCTGATAATGAAACAATGCCCCCAGCATTCTGCCGATGGTAAAGCCCAGACGCGTGGTGAAGTTATTGAGAATAACTTCTGGCCTGTGTTCCGTGATCTCTTTGTGGCTGCGCTTCAACTCCGTCGTTATCTTAACGTTGCTGAGCTTGAAGTGTGCGGTAGGACCATCTGGCAGATGAACGATCAGCATTCCATCTAATATTTATATAAGGAAAACTATTTCAAGATAAAAAATAACTGATTTTATGTAACGCATCAGTGTGTAGTCGAGTGGCATTAAATGAGTCGCTTTTTAAGGAGACGCTGGAGTGATTCTGCACTTTTTACATCTAGAACTGTCAGTTTATGAAAACATTTGTGTAATGAACAAATTATGTGGCTTTTGTGTACGGACCGATGGCGTCCCACTATTCGGATTAAATCAGAGAACAGCGTGGTATTATTGAAATTAAGTTAAGGAGCTCAACAAGAAATGCTTTCACTCAAATAAGTTGTAGGTTTGGTAACCCATGATGTATTTGAGCGAATAGATTTCTCTTTAGGCTCCTAAACTTAATCCAATGGCACACGCTACTATTTTTCCTACTGGATTGCTTACGAGAGCCAATAAGAATGCAGAGTTTTGGCTCTCGTAAGCAATCCAGTAGGCAAAATAGTATCGTGTGCCGTTGGCTTTAGTTTCAATGATACCACGCTGCTCTCTGCTTTAGTCCGAATAGCGGGACTTACGATCTGTACGCATAAGTCTCAGAGTTTATGTATTACACAAATGTTTTCACGAATTGACAGTGCTAGATGCACAGATGCAGAATCACTCCAGCATCCCCTCGAAGCTTCCCGAAATAACTTCTGGCGCTTCTAATAATTCACCGTCAGGCAATTTATCTAAAAAAAATATGGTTTCTCTTTTATTATTTCATATTATTGTCTATACTAGATGGTTTCAGTTTACTTGAGGAGGGCTCGAAACGTTGTAGATAAACAAATATATTGCCAGTTTGGTCGACGTACAACATAGCATTTTTATCTCCTTTTACTAAAAAAATATGTTGCACAATAGATGAAATGTTGGCGAAGCCACTACAAGTAAAACTATTTATAGTGTTTTTAATTTGGCAAAAAGGATACTCGGTTTGCATCGATCTTCATTGACGATTATTATGTCCGTAAAGTTCCTGGCTGTGGCGCTCTTGACCATCTTCTTGACGCCAGAGCGATTTCTGTACAGCGAGATGGAATTGGGGATTATTCTCGTGAGCTCCCGGCCAAAAATTCTCGTTTTCCTGTTTGGATTATCGGCATACGTAATGAGCACCTTCGGCTCGTACGCCTGCTTGTAATAGGCAGCGAACTCGTCGCGATCGCACTCAAATCTGAACTCCTCGTTCGCCTCGTCATCCAGACTGCCCACTATCGTCGTCTCGTCCTTCTCTCGCAGACTCTCTAGGGTATGCGGCACCTGTTTCGGCGCACCCTCCTGTATCCGCGCCTTCTTCGCCTTCTTCGCCTCCTTCACCCGTTGCTTCATCAATTCCTGGCATTTCTGGTACCTCACCGCTTTGCACTTGATGTGATTGAAGTTGGAATCGGACGGCAGCAAAACTTGCGAGGTTTTATCCGCCGAGGTGCTCGGTTCATCGGCCGCCGCGTCATCCTCCTCCCTGGGTCGACTCAGAGGATTCTTTCGTAAAGTTTTAATCTTCATCTTAAAGAAAACTGACTCTCTGTCAAATACTCTGTCTTCCTCAGAGCAAAGAGTGCGTTTCTAACCTCAAAGATCCAGAAAACGTGTTTACGAGCACGAGCACACATGCGCACAGTGTCGCCAATATCGCGAGGAATATCGAACTAGAGAGTAAGGAGGCGCCATGAGCGTAGGAAATATCTCTGGACGGAAAATGGACGCGGGGAGTTGACTCTGGAGGATTTTCGCGATTTGAACTTTGAATTTCTCGGAATTTTAATTCTTGGAAATTCAGATAGTGCCACTTCTTTGCCGATAATGTTCTCCTGATACTTTGCCAGTTTTCGTGATTCTCGATTTTTGCGATTTGAACTTTGAAATTCTCGGAATTTCAAATAATGCCACTTCTTTGCCGATCATGTTCTCCTGATACTTTGCCAGTTTTCTCGATTTGAATTTGGAAATTCTCGGAAATACAATTCTTGGAATTTTAGATAGTGCCACCTCTTTGCTGATCATGTTCTCCTGATACTTTGCCATTTTCTCGATTCTCGATTTTCGCGATTTGAAGTTTGAAATTCTCGAAATTCCAATTCTTGGAAATTCAAATA